CCGTGACAGTGAGACACTACGTGGTGGTTTCTTCTGATTGCCCAGTAACCCAATCTGCCGACAACTACGAGTTTTACACTTTTCATTGATTACGAATCGATACGTTAAAGAAAACAATTGTTAAGAATCAATCAGCCGCCGGGTGCAGACTGGATAATCTGATTTCACACTCACGACGGGGCGCAGTGATAACACGGGATTATGGGTAATCCGATTACAGTAACGCATTAGTCAGCACGCAACTCAGCTTGTAATTGCATTTACGGTTGTACTAAAAAAAAGTTGCGTGGAAAAGGTGAGCGCTGCGCTGCACTCCGAAGTCCGGCGGCCCGAGTTCGATTCCCGCTCACGGCCAACACCGGTGACGATTACCTGAACCATTCCTGGGCCTCCTCTAGATCGACTCAGCCTCAAGTGAGTACCTGGTGCGGTGTGTAAACATCGCCACTGGGGAGACAAAGGCGGCTGGGCGTGGTGCTGGCCACCCACCCCCTCGTGTGCCGTGCCGGCCTTCATAGGTGCTCCTCGCTAACAGCACTCGTCCCAACAGTGTGTTAAGGCTATACGGGAGATCTTTATCTTTGTAAAATGACTCTCAACTGAGAATACTTTTAGGTCGGTGTGTTGAGGCTGTGTTGCGTTTTCTTTTTATCTGTGCAACTTTTAGACTTCAACATTTTGCAGAATAGCTATTTAAATGTATCCTCGTTTTAATTAATTGTACCATCTAGGCCCTTCTTAACGTAAGGGACTTTCGGAGAGCATTTACATGTATACGTAGGCCTAATTGCGTGATTATATCACTTGTACTTCATGAAGGAAACATCTGCTAATCTAGGGCGCTGCAGAGGCGAGATGTTAACTCCTTCGCCTGGTGTGCAGGACGTCGTGGGTTTAATCCCCACCCTGACGATGCCTGCAGTTTATTTGGAGTTGTTCTCCCCGTGGTCGCAGTGGATTTTTCTCCTGGTCCTACGGTGTTTCCCTCCATATTTAGAATAAACATCACGCGTTCAGAGTATTTGGCTGCTATACATTTGCACGCGATAAGCAACTTCGTTGAGCTATCATTTGTGGCCAGGTCGCTTCTGAAAATGAGCGATGTAGCTCAGTAGGCCTTACCTGGTAAAAAATAAAATTGTTTAACAAGCCCGACTCTAATGATGAGACCCATAAGGACGAAATCGATCCATAAATAAATGCTACTGCTTGATAATTATTATTGGTTTGGAAAGCCAAGAGGTCAAATGGACTGAAAGCATATACTGCATATCTTTATTATAATTCGTGAACAACAATTCATACATTCATAAGCGATAATCAAACATACATACAGTACATACATAGGAACATTACACTCGCGGACAAGTGAGTAGTAACAATGTGTTATGTTGACACTTCTAAAACACGACTCGTGTTTTCGTTTTGAATTAGCCCACGTGGTCTCTTCACGTCACAGTGCATGTCATGAACGTTGGCGATAAATCTACAACGACCACGTGGCCTAACCCATAATCAATGCGGACTCACTGTCCTGGCTACATAACCCAATGTTTCAAAATCAGCTCAAAACAATTCGTACATTTTAAAATGATGAGACGGTTGTTACTCCTAATAGGAATTCGGAAAGTCTATATTATAGTACTTTACGATACCGTATATTGGCATTAGTGCATCAAGATAACAATACCTTAAGCAAATAGCATTGCGCGAATTATTTATTGTTTCATATTTTAATTGTTTTATTGTTTCCCTTCTACGTGGTGACTTTACCGAAAGAACCAAGAATATTAAGCCCTGAAGCTACGAAAGCTTTAAATCAAAATTTATTTAAGACTATTTATTATTTTATACGCATATCGAGAAATGAACAAGAACAGAGAAACACTTTTAAACACGATAAACTAAAAGCACCACCCTGATATTATTTATAATATTTTAAAAGCGTATATAACATAGTGTATGTGTACATATCCACATATATATTCCAACAAAGTTTCTCAGCCTGATACGGTGTGTAAACATCTATCCAAGGGAGACAAAGGCGGCCGGGCGTGGTTCTGGCCACTCACGCCCTCGTGTGCCGTGCCAGCCTTCATAGGTGCTCGCCAACAGCACTTGCTTTAAAAGTATGTTAAGGCTACACGGGGGATCTTTGTATTGTGTATTTGTGTACGATGGAAGTTACCTTTGTGTGTATATACATATGTGTGTGTGTGTGGGGGAGCGATTGTGCAGGGGTTAGCGCATGATACTACGATCCCGGCGGCCCGACTTTGATTCCTGCTCCCGGTCAACATCGGTGACGATTATCCGAACCAGTTCACCCCACCAGGTGCTCAGAACCTGGTGCGGTGTGTAAACATCCCCACTCGGGAGACAAAGGCCGCCTTGCGTCGTTTCCGGCCTTAATAGGTCCTCGCTAACAGCTCTGCAGTGGCCACAACAGTCTGTTAAAGGCCATGTTGAGGGTCTTTGGCGATGCATGCATGTATATGATTGTGTATGTATATGAGTGTGCATGTATATTAGTGTGTATGTATATGAGTGTGTATGTACATTAGTGTGTATTATATTAGTGTGCATGTATATGAGTGTGCATGTATATGAGTGCGCATGTATTTGAGTGTGCATGCATATGTGTCTATGTATATGAGTGTGCATGTATATGAGTGTGTATGTATATGAATGTGGATGTATATGAGTGTGCATGTATATGAGTGTGTATGTATATGGGTGTGTATGTATATGAGTGTATATATTAGTGTGCGTGTATATGAGTGTGCATGTATATGAGTGTGCATGTATATGAGTGTGTATGTATATGAGTGTGTATGTATATGAGTGTGCATGTATATGAGTGTGTGTATATGAGTGTGCGTGTATATGAGTGTGCATGTATATGAGTGTGTATGTATATGAGTGTGTATGTATATGAGTGTGCATGTATATGAGTGTGTGTATATGAGTGTGTATGTATATGAATGTGCATGTATATGAGTGTGTATATACATCCGGCAAAACAACCCCCTACCTCCTCGCGGTGCTGGACGGGCAACTCTGTCGTGGACAGTGCTGTGGGGGGAGGTCCAATTCCGATTGGCTCCTCCCCTCATGGCATATGTGTCCACCACAGTGGCTAAACGGGGGCTCTGGACGGGTGCGAGGGGTTGGTAACCCCTCCACCTTCAATTAATTACCACTAAACTACGACTGAAATATGTAACTAATAAGCTTGTGCCGGAGACCCCGGGGGGACAGGCGTCTATGACGTCTCCTGGCCAAACCCCAATTGGCGGAGCCAGGAGATTGAATCTCTACCCTCTGGGCTCCTCCATAAACAACGAAAAGCCACTACGGATGGCCACGTGGAATGTTCGAACGCTCACTGCGGAGGAGAGGCTGCCACTCCTCTGTTGGGAGCTGGACCAGTACCGCCTGGATCTGTGTGGCATTCAGGAGGTCCGGTGGACCGGATCTGGCTCCTGCCACCATGAGCGGTGGACAGTCCTCTACTCGGGGCACCAGACTGCCAAACAACAGGGTGTGGCTCTTCTTTTGAACAAAATAATGAAGGGGGCGTGGGAGCGTGGCGGTCAGGTGTGGGAAGCTGTAAGCCCCAGGCTACTTTGGGCTCGCCTTCCCATCAACTGGAGGCGAGGAGTGGTGGTAGTGGTTACTTATGCCCCCACCGAAGACGAACATCCGTGGAGGGATGCAGGCAAAGCCGATGAGTCAGATGCCTTCTATGACCTCCTGTCACAGGTGCTGGCTAAAGTGGCCCCTCGGGATAGAGTCATCTTGTTGGGTGACTTCAATGCCCGAGTTGGTCATGATGCTGGCACCTGGTCTGGAGTGATTGGAAGGCATGGGCCAGATCAGCTCAATAACAACGGTAGGAGACTGCTAGATGTTTGTGCAGCCCATGGGCTTGTAATTACCAACACGCTGTTCCGGCATCAGCGCATCCACACAACATCATGGATGCATGCCAGGTCCAAGCAAGAACATCTGCTGGACTACATAGTGACGGACCAGCGGATGCGAGCCCATGTCCTTGACACCAGGACCTACCGTGGAGCTGATCTGCCCTCTGACCATCGACTACCATTCTTCCACTCCGGTGGTGGGTGTACATCCAGGACCCCATTCCAACCTAAAGTGGTCTGGTCTCAGTTATCTGATGAAAGTTACAAGCGAGAATTTCATCATCGCTTGCGGCTGGGGTTGTCATCGTCCCCCACTCCTCCTGATGTCGAGGGTAAATGGGCGAGGTTTAGGACTGTGACTCATGCAGCTGCAATGGCTGCTTTGGGTACGCGGTCCAGACTTCTCCAGAGACCCTGGCTGACAGAGGAGGTGTTCGGGATGGTTGAGAAAAAGCGACAGGCCCACTGTCATCGGCTACAGAATCCCACGTCAGAGAATGAGGAGGCTTACCGCAGCCTTTGCTCGGAGGTTCGGAGAGCCGTGAGGTGCTGCAAGGATGGGTGGTGGTCGCGGATTGAGTGTGTATGTATATGAGTGTGTATGTATATGAGTGTGTATGTATATGATTGTGCATGTATATGATTGTGCATGTATATGAGTGTGTATATATATGAGTGTGTATATATATATGAGTGTGTATATGAGTGTGTATGTGTGTATGTACTGTATATGAGTGTGTATGTATTTGTCTGTGCATGTTTTAGGTGTATATGTGTGTGTATGTATGAGTATTTTATTGTATGTATATGAGTGTATTTACGTATATACGTTCACAATTCGGATATTTGATTTCTTTAGCATTGTAACGTTAAAAAAAACATTCGTAGTCTACCGTAACATTAACATTAAAAACGATTTCCTGAGAGAGGCCAGTTAACTGAAACGCCGAGTCTTTCATTTCCTTTTTAACGAGATGTACCAAAATAATATATAAGCCATACAAACCTACAAACCATCCGTAAAAAATATCAGCTTTCAATTAGGCCAGCTTACACATGCAGCCCCAGTAATTCAGGATACATTCCAAGTTTATTATTACTATTGCACATTCACAATTTGAAAATGCTACTTTTGTTTTGGTGATACTGTGCACCAAGCGCAAATAAAACTCAACACATTGGGCAACTACTTCATACACTAGTCAACGTTTTAGGCAACAGTCCTGCTTAATTGCTCCGTTCTATTTGAAGAAGGACCGTTTCCCGAAACGTCGTGTTGTTGTTAACAGCTGTTTGCTGGTCAAAGGAACAGGTGAAGCACGTTTTTTTGCAAAATCTGAACGATCAATAAAGACAAAAAAGTGATATCGTCATCACTGTCGGCCTTCATCTCGCAGATGGGTTGACATTTAGTTGTAAGGTACTGCTATGATTTGTATTTATGATTTCAGTATGAATATCGACTTATCCACTTATTATGTACTAAGCGAATGACTTGTGACTCCGCTAAGTTCATGATAAATGTAAAAAACGACATTGGCCGTAGCGTCGATACTGCTACATATATCGGCGATGTTTGGGCAATGCCCCTTTTTTGTTATCTTATGCGAGGGTAAAATGTGTTTTTTTGGAATTAATTGTACATCATATACGACGTTATGGGCAATGGTCCTTCTTCATGTCACAATATATAAAGTGGTATCAAAAATATACGATGTATAAATATGTTTATTATATATTTTAAGACATCTAAATTATTATTAGTATAGGTTTTTAATATAAAAATATGTATATCATATAAATACAAAAAAACGTGAATTCCAGTAGAACCCCTCTTAACGGTGGTGATTGGTTCCACGAAACCGATCGTAAAAGTGATTTGGTCTTTAAGCGAATATAGGAAATACATGTTCAAGGCTTAATTCGTTCCGACAGCATCAAAAGTTACCCTTTTTCACCCAAAAAACTTAAGTTACAATATTTAATTAAAGGACATTAGTACGTAAAAATACTAACAACATTGTAAACAAATAATGTGAAAAGAAACACGGTTAATCAATGCATGAATTAATAGTTACTGTACCTACAACAGCCAGTCGTTAACAGGGGGAATGGTCGTTATGCGAACACGTTGGGCTCTATGGAGGCCCTTGGTTAAGCTACAGAGACACGATTACGAATATTGAAAACGGAGGTAACGTTAGAGTATATTTGAGTAATAAAAGATCGTAGAGTTTCCCACGACAAGTAACCATGCCGTCGTTTCATTTTGCTGTAGTCTCTTACAACCCGTGCTCAAGTCAATAAACGTGTTACACTCATATATTATAACTTTAAAAGTGCTGTTTGTTACTGGCGTTTTTAAGGGGGGGGGGGGGGGGGATGGGACAGGCTGAATAAGTTCAATTTAGTTATCAGGTGGCAATTCCTACTTTCATTAAATCTATCCCGTAACCATGACCAGATCTTCAAAAATGAAACTATGTCATTTGTTACTTCACCAGGTAAAGACCCACTGAGCTACATAGCTCTTAATCTTGATTTGAAGCTTTCGTAACTGCAGGAATCCATCCTCTTTGGTTCTTTCGGTAAAGTCACGTAGGTAGAAATGAAATAATAAATGAAATGATTATTTTATTTTATTTCTACCTACGTGACTTTACATAGCTCTTTTTCAGAAGCGACCTGGTCACAAATGATGGATCAGCGAAGTGGCTGTAGCCACGTGCTAATGTATAGCATTCAAGTACTCTGAACGCGTGTTGATTCTAAATTTGGAACAAAGAACCGGAGGACCCGGAGAAAAATCCACGCGACAAATGGGGAGAACATACAGACGTCAGGGTCGGGATCGAACCCACGACATCCTGTATACCAGGCAAAGTAGTTAACATCTCGCCACCGTGGTACCCCAGGTGACTCTGGGGTTTAAGATGTAGTTAAATTGATAAATTCGCGTGTTCACCTGTGTTGCCAATCCACTGCTGGTTTAGGGCCTTCCTACAATTTGCGGGGTCGTGGTTAGGGCTATTTGACCATACTTCCCCACTCTGGTTAGTTGCGGGTTGGAAAAAGCGAGGGAGAGCATAGACGCCTTAGCACTGCCCTAAGATGTTTTTAAATGAATCTTTGGTAATATGCCTGGCGTGTTCAGTACTTTAACTGCAGCCCTGGATAGTCCGCAAAGGTTGTTCCATGAATGATTTTAGCTCACAGCAACATCCACTTCGCCTTACACTGTCCTCATATTTTTAATTAACACGTTTATAGGATTATAGGAATACAATCATATAGGACCATTATGAAGAGGCATACCTTGGTATTCTAGCGGTAGTGCCTTACGCCCGATTCCAATCCAGTCTAGCAGCGTTTCCGGAGACGAAAACAAAATTTCGAGCTGTGAGAAATTGGTAAAGCCCGGGGCGTAGCCACAAACTTCTCCAGTCGGTCTCGAGAAGGGACTCGGGTGGACTCGTCGACTCGTGGCAACGGATCCCATCCGAGGTTTGTTCAGAGCGCTCAAGGCACCCCTGCGAAAAGACAATGAGAACCAGCCGTGGTGAGTAAAACACAAGCGATGTGACGCCTAAGCCAGCCCCCTTCGCGACCATTTTAATGAATAATAATAATTCTGACAATCTCCCAATGATGGCCGTTGTTGTGATCACCAGCGAGCCCTCAAAATTACCCATTTTGGAAATGCTGTGCAGGGTTTGCGCTCCCAAACGCACACGCTGGCGTGCTGAAGCAGTAACTCATCTAACCACGCATTGTTCACAACTTGACACACACACACACACCTTGCTGATTGGTTGCGCCGGATGGAGATGGGTTTTACGACGCATTTATATGAACGCGATGCATGCTGCTGGCGGGAAGAGAGGTGCCACAAAATGCTTGAAATGTTAGTGTGGGTAACATTCGTGCGATGATCCGTAAACCCACGCGGCCTCCACAGTGCGTGCTGGATTCCAGGCCACGTGCGTAGCCACCACTGCCTATTCATGTATTGTACTAGACAAAGATCCTCCGTATAGCCTTAACAGACTGTTGGGGCAAGTGCAGTGAGTGAGTAGCACCTACGAAGGCCGGCACGCCTGGTCGCCTTTGTCCCACCTAGCAGCGATGTTGACACACCGCACCAGGTACTCATTTGGGGCTAAGTTGACCTAGGGAAGGCCCAGGACTGTCTCCAGATAAATCATCACTGGCGTGGGCCCTGAGCGGGAATCGAACTCTGGTCACCGGGTTCGTAGTACATTTACTCACACACCACCACGTTGGGATTGTTCAGGTTGGAAGTAAAAGTCGATTTTTTTTTACCCCAATTAGTGGCCGCAATTACCACAGCAACCCGCGATGTTTACATCCACGGTAAGTTGCATACGACAGTTGCATACCTGTCAACCCATACTTTTTACCCGTATTTTTGTACAGGAAAATGTAGTTTTCAGGTCCATACGTCGTACAGCCGTTTCAATACGGGCAAAACAGTAGTTGTCTATTTGTTTGTGTTTCTCCCTTGTGATGGGACTTTGTAGGATGAACGTTGAGAATTTATAAGGGGCACGGGGTGACCAATAAGATCTGAGTTGGTCTGTACTAAGGTATAGGGGTTGACAGCGATGCAGTTGCCCAACGTGCGCGTGGTTGATGCAACTCGCGCGCAACACGTGGGCGAGGTTTGCATCGCCAGCGGTTGCACAAACATTACGCACCTCGACCGCGTTCGTCAATAACACTGCCGTTAAACAAAGAGAAAATGAAAGTTATATAAGTGTATATATGTGTGTATATATAACGGTGGCCGTTTCGGGCAATGACCCTTCCTCAATAAAGAAAAGATCACCTCTCTGCTATGAAGAAGTTCCAATGCCTGTTGGTATATATATATTAACACACACGTATATATTGACATGTATAGATTTTATATAGAAACGTTCCATATTCGGTATAGGCTTAACTATCGGGCAGCACTATTCACTATAATAATAATGCGACAAAAGAGGGTATATTTACATATATACATATATGGTTTAATCATAGGCCAAATTAATTAACCCTTTCAATGCCTAAATATAATGTAAATATTTGGCTAAAACGTCTCGTATTATATTTACATTTGTATACGGTGTATGCCTATTATAGTTACTATTACATGTTGTATAGATTATGTATTTATTTAATCTATACAAGCCTGTGAGTTCCTATAACCTCGCTTGATTGGGTAAACGCACGTGGGCTGTGATCTGTTGCACCTTCAGTGGTTGTTGTCTCTTCTCGGTCACGTGGCATTTCGGGCCTTCGGGATAGCGCTCAGCAATTTTGATTTTAAAAAAAATATTATTAAACCTCTAATTTGTACACAGCATACATCGTGTGTGCAACGTATGCATTGTATTTCTCACCGATAACCGTAATGTCGTATGTACTTAATATTTATAATGCATTATACGGTAAAGTATATATTCGGCGTATTGTTTTTGTATTAAAGTATTCATGTACATATTAAATGTGAGATCAACATAATAACTTGTTCAATACGCATGAGAAAGTACATTAGGATATGCGTAACACAGAGACGTAACGTACAAAGAGTATTTAACATATCTATTTAGAAGGGATACAACCCGAAAAGTCGCCTATTGTATATATGTTAAGCCTTTTAGGACCACAGTTTAATTGAGAGAATGTGTTGAGTTTGTTAATTGTAGCAGCAACATCACAACACATTGTGTCCGTATTGTGCAGGCGTACGTACTTAATCTATAGGTACACGATACGCATATGTACATAGACGTGCACTTTCTTGAATGGTTAATTCTCAAAACTAATAATACATTGATATATATTCATAAATGTGAACACAAGCTATAAGTTTGGGTTTGTGTAGTGCCCATATATTGTAAATGTGTTTGCTGGATATACATCTATTTTTCATAGATTTTACATCAATTAAATACGTAACATCCTATAGGTTCTGTAGTTACAATTGTATGATCAATGCATTGAGTCATTATACACTAATATACCGTACACTCATATAAATATAAAGATCACCCATATGGATTTACAGACTGTTGGGGCAAAGCATGCACATCATTATTATCATCAATATGTGTGTGTTTATATTTTATACTGTATCAATAAAAATTACCACCAACACATTTCTAAAATTATATTTACATACATAATGCATATCTTGCTTGAATTACGCTATTTCTTAGTCAGCGAATATAATATATTGACCCACATATATTAATCATTATTGTGTATACGGTTAAATTAAGTATCAATAACTCTGAACAATAACCGCTCATATCAATGCATATTCATATATATATCAATATTCAGCTGATTTGGTCCATGGGTTGAATGCAGATAATTGTAATAGCCATGCAGCATTTCTCGTGCATTATTCTCTTTAGCATAACATTCATACAGTGTACGCAACAATATCCCCTACTTATTGGTTGCAATGGCTACAAATGTCATGAGCAAACCTGAGATAATATTGCTTTACATTCATGTTCGTGCCTCTTTCTCCAATCGAATGTTCAGACAATGCGTTCAAATGTTGTCGGCAACAATTTTAGCGAAATCGCGTCTCCTCCCTTGAATGACTCCCCTTCTGATATATAGTAAATAATATCTCCATATTTTGTTCTCCTTCGTTTAATCTCGGTGCATATAGCTGACCCATTGTTGCAAATGCTATTTAAAATCACAATAATTATAAATGTAAATTATGAATGCCTTCATGTCTATGCAATTTTTTTTCCAGCGTTGGTTCGTGACAGCTCTGATGATTGTTCAATGTTACACCTAGACGAATCTCTTCCCGTGGTCGACAAAGGAAGGCAGCATGCTACGACTTAATTTTATAATCATTGAGCATGATCGTCATTAGCTTCATCCAGCGGTGGATTGAGCGTGACTCGTGGTAACGAGAACCAATCATCACGCCCGGCGGTACCTTTGGAGGTAGCGCGCGAGGTGCCGTGGCCTGTGAGTCAACGTTCTCCCTGGGTGTCAGTGAAAGAAAAGAAAACAAGTTAAAGGCGTGGCCCTGCAAGTGCTTGCTCACGCCTACTGCTGGTGGAAGGGGCGTCCACTCAAGCAAAGCCCCCCCCTCCCCGTGTCTGTAGACGTCTTGGAAGGGGTGGCAGTTACCCACACTTTACACAACCGCGCGCGACCTGCCCGCCCGCCCGCCCGCTGTGTGTGTTACATTTGTGAGCGTGGTGCGGGGCGGCGAAAAGGTGGAGGTGCGGGGATTTAAACAAAATGTAAACAACAACAACAAAAGCAACAACTGCTCGTTGTTGCAGGATGCCGCGACGGGTGATCGCAAAGCACCGGGTCAACCGATTGGATTGCGAGGGGCACAAAGAAGAGGGTGTGCTAGCTCACCAATCACAACCGCCGTGGCAGCATGCCACGTGCTGCGTACGAAAGCGCCTCCGTCGTGTACGTGCGGTGCTCTACGACGTGCGTGAGTGAGTTCATTAATTAAGGTTCGTCACGTGCGGTGAACGGACGTTGCGGGTGACGCTGAGCGTTAATTGCTTTTTAAATCACCTTGGCTGTGGCTTATCGAGCCAGATCAAACGGCTTTTTTTTTTGCTCACGTAACTTCATCAGCACGGACATTGCCACCCCAATAACTCATGCACGGTGTGCTTATCGATACAGAACGGTGTTGGATGGCGTGTGGAGCGGTGGCGCGATGGTTAGCGCAATGCGCTGTTATGCTACCCGGCCACGTGAGTTCGACTCCCAGCCGAGACGAACATCGGTGGCGATTATTTGAGCCGGTTTCGGGGCGTCCAATCGGTCGCCTCGGTCTCAAACGAGTGCTTGGTGTGGTGTCTGGTGTACAAACTATTTTTTAAATTTTGTTTGATTTTTTTTAAATTTTGTTTTACTAGACGAGGCCCACTGAGCCATGTAGCTCGTTTTTGTTGTTGTTGTTGTTGTTGCAGAATCGACCTCATCACGCGGGAATGTATATCAGCCAAATATTGTAAACGCATGTTGTTGAATCTCAATGTGGAGGAAATCACCGGAGGACCCTGGCAAAAATCCACGCGACCAATGCGAAAGAGACGCAAACTCCAAATATAGAGCAGCAGCAGGCTTCAGTGTCGGGGTCGAACCCACGACCTCCTGCATACCAGGCGAGGTAGCTAACATCTCATAGCCACCGTGATGATGATGAGAGAGAGAGACACGCAAACTCCAAATATACAGCAGCAGGCTTCAGTGTCGGGGTCGAACCCACGACCTCCTGCATACCAGGCGAGGTAGCTAACATCTCACCACCGAGGCGCACACTACATCAGCCCGGGTGTGATCCTGGTCTACATCTTTAAAACGTATGTGGTCCCGGCCTGAATAGACGCTTGCCAACTTGCCCCGTCCGTGTGAATGGCTACATGAGGATACTTTTTTATGTGCATGTATATATGATTGGGGGAGCAGTCGTGGAGCGGTTAGCCGTGATGCGCTATGAACCTGGCGACCGGAG